AGGCCTGAAACGTCAGCCTTTCTGCTCCTATGATGCTGCTTGACCTGCTGTGTTCATCCAGCTCTGCACCTTGCTGTCTCCGTAATTAGCCTGACCTGACCATCGACATACTGATCCCAACAGGGATCAAACTCGTAAATATTATTTTGTAGAGCTCCTGCTATGAGAAGAAAGTTGCTTGCTGCAGTTGAAAGTATAGTTCTAATTTGTTGACATGGCATGATGAGAATTCTGATCGGACTGTTTGGAACTGTGCTTGATTTGTGCGTGACTATTATCTTCAGCTGGAGCCAATAAACAGCTGGAGAGCAGGTATTCCAGAAAATGCCGCTGATGAAGGGTACTAATGAAGACTTTCGGTCCGAATCATTGACTTTCCTGCTCTTCGGATGCTGTCTGACCTGTTGTGCTTTTCCAACATCACATCTATTGATTCCAGCTTCCAGCATCTGCAGTCCTTACTGTCTCCAAAAGCTGCAAAATGTATTGTGCAGCGTTCAAAAAAATCTAACTTCAGTGGTCAAGGTCAGGCAAAATAGGACAATCTATTGCAATTTTAGATTCATGCTAGATACTAAGTACACGTGTTACAGAGATAACCTTCCTTCTTATTTGCTACCAGCACAAAAATTCTGAATGCTTATTATGATAATGTCCTTATCATTCACTGGCTCCAAAGCACACATTGAAGCCCAAAATTATATTCTGTTGGCATAACAATGTGGTTGTACTGTTAGACTCTTAATCCTTAGAATTAAGATTAAAAGTCCTATGGTAGTAGTTTATTCAACTTTTTAAAAGAACGTTTTGATAAAAAGCTGAGTGACAAGAATCTGACTGGTTCACTCTTATCCAATAGGGAAGGAAACCTGTTGTCTTGACAGCCCCATCACAATCTGGTTGGCCATTTATTGCTCTTTGATGTGGCATAACTTTAAACACAATGACTTAGCTGAAACGGAACAGAGAAATGCCTTGAAAATAAGAACTGAATGGCATATGGTTAATTTACTGGCTGTTCATTTCCATTCAAAATTAACTCTGAAGTTATAATTCATATGGACAAAAATGATGGCACCTCAGTATAATCTGAGATTGAAGATGCCAGCTGTTAATGAAAGGGGTGCCCTTCACAGATACAGACTTCCACCAGAAATGCACATTATTAGCTGACATGTAGAGTAAATATTTCTAATCCATATGTGCTCAGTTGCGCTGAATTTATGAGACATCCCTGAGCTGAAAATTAACATTTAATGTGTCTTTTTGATACACGATTAATAATTGTTATTTATGTTTCAAACTTCACAAAGAAATGTCCTGAGTAAATTTATATATATTATATATAAATCCAATTTGTATATAAAATTATATGCATGCTCCTGGAATTAGAGAACAGCTATTTCATAATGGGAAGTTTCTGAGAAGTGTTACTGAACAAAGAGACCCCTTGGACTGCAGGTTCATAGTTTCTTGAAAGTGGAGTCACAGGTAGGTAGGATAGTGAAGAAGGCATTTAGTATGCTTGTCTTTATTGGTCAATGCATTGAGTATAGGAGTTGGGAGGTCATGTTGAGGCTGTACAGGATATTGGTTTGGCCACTTTTGGAGTATTGTGTGCAATTCAGGTCTCCCTGCTATAGGATGGATGTTTGTGAAACTTGAAAGGGTTCAGAAAGGATTTACAAAGATGTTGCCAGGATTGGAGGATTTGAGCTATAGAGAGAGGCTGAATAGGCTATTTTCCCTGGAGCAACGGAGGCTGAGGGATGACCTTATAGAGGTTTATAAAATCATGAGGGGCATGGATATGGTAAATAGACAAGGTCTTTTCACCAGAGTGGGGGAGTCCAAAACTAGAGGGCATTGGTTTAAAGTGTGAGAGGAAAAATTTGAAAGGGCCCTAAGCGGCCACTATTTCACCCAGAGGGTGGTGCGTGTTTAGAACAAGTTGCCAGAGAAAGTGGTTGAGTCTCATACAAATGACAACATTTAAAAGGCATCTGGATGGGTATATGAATAGGAAGGGATTAGAGGGCTATGGGCCAAATGCTGGCAAACGGGACAAGATTAATTTAGGATATCTGGTCAGCAGGGATAACCTGGGCCGAAGGGTCTGTTTCTGCGCTGTACGTCTCTATGAGTCTACGAGTCTATAATACGAGACAGTAGGTTTGTGTTTGCAGGACTGCAACAGTAATTTCCAGCACAGTCAGTAACTTTGTTACATAGACTCAACTTCTCTGGGGGAGGAATCAACTTTAGCCAACATGATAATTGCATAGTAAAGTCAGTGGCACAGTTATAGCCAGGAGTTATCCTTCAACTGCCTATAACTGCTTGTTAGAAATTGTAGTTGGGGAAATTCTCCTGCTGAGCGCCCATGATCTGATTCGTAAATTCCTGTATTTCAATTGACACCAGGTAGATACCTGATAAGAACATGAAATTGTAAATCTAGCAATAATGACAGAAAATTGTCTGCAAACTCTTAGCTACCTGTTTGGCACAGAGCAAAATGACAGATTTTTTATTTTTTTTTAAGAAGCAATAGATTTGTATGTGTATTCGACCATCTCAGTATAATCGATTCAATTATGTAACTTTAATTAGTCTGGAGATAGTAATCTCTGGAAGTCTACCACTCCTTGGGCACTAAGCAATCCTTCAGAAACATAAACCAAGTAACTATGTGACAGACTATTTATCAGGGAAGACAACACAGTTAATACCTGACCATTCGAGCAGGGCTCACTGAACAGTAATCATGATAATGAATCCCAGTTGTTTTTCCCCTCCATTTCATGGTCCAGCAGTTATAATATTGCAACTGCTGTCCTGCCGCACATTTACCAATTTAGCAAAGATATGGCATTAAACCATGCTCTTCTGAGCTCTGAGATTTAACACCACACAATCAATGTTACTCACTGGGCAATTCACCTGGAAAAAAATCACTTCTAATAGCCAGTAGATTCATTTTTAATACGAGTCTTAAGCATTTTTGAACTTGTCATCTAGTGGCATGAAGGTGAAGGATATACTCTAATAACTTAGAAATGGGGTAATTTCCAATTTATCATTGTTAGTTCATTTATGGCAATTTGCAATGGATACCTAGCAAAGCAATCTCCAAAAGTACTGAATGTATTAATTTCAATAATAGTAGGGATCAGTTCACCGAGCATAAGCCATGGATCAAACTTTTCGGAATTGATGACTCAGTTACTTACTTTATTAACAAGCTAAACCAGCAACTGAGCTCAGAATTCACATCAATAATGATCACTCAGAAGTAGATTACACTGACTGCTTTGCTTACCCATACTAGCAATGATGCTGTGAACAGGTAATCTGGAAGCTCCATGATAGATAGTATTTGATATACTATTTATGCTTTGTTCATTTTGCTTTATAAAAGCTGAGTTTTCTTCCTTGGTAATGTTAATATAAAAACAGATGTCTGTGGAACTCATGATGTATCGAGGACCTGGATTAAGTAAAATATTTCTGTTTTCTTCCCTCTTCACACCAATCAGACAAGCTCCATACCTAAAGAAAATCATAAAGGGAAGTCCAACACATCATAAGATTTATGCTCTCAGATTTAACTTCCAATATGTGCAGTCTTAGCACAAGTACAAACTGTTTCCTGTTCACATTCAAAATGCTCCTGGTATTTCCTTTCAAATAATTGAAGCAATTAGGGGCAGCACAGTGGCTCAGTGGGTAGCACTGTAACCTCACAGTGCCAAGAGCTTGGGCTCAATTCCACGCTCAGGGGACTGTCTTGTCTGAGGTTTGTACATTCTCCCCATGTCTGCATGGGTTTCCTCTCACAGTCCAAAGGTGTGCAGGTTAGGTGGATTAGCCATGGGAAATGCAGGGTTACAGGGTCAGTGTAGGAAGATGGGTCTGTGTGAAGTTCTTCAGAGGGTCAGGATGGGCTGAATGGCCTGCTTCCACACTGGAGGGATTCTATGATTTTATGAATTAACCTCAAGTTTAAAGTTATATTCAAACTTACATCAGTTAAACAAACAGCATGATTAAAAGATTTCAAGTTTGCCCATGGAATAAAAGGGACTGTAGCAAGTTGGATACAAAATTGACTCACTGATAGGAAACAGGAGTGTCACAGTCAATGCATATTTTTTGAGATAGAGGGAAATTTGTAATAGAGTTGCCTAGGAGTTGGTGCTGGGCCCTTGCTCTTCCTGATATATGTTCACGAGCTAGATCCGGTTTGCAGGGGCAATTATAAAATTCTCAGGCGATATGAAACTTGGAAAACATTGTTGACTGCGCAGAAGTGGCATGAAGGTGAAGCATATACTCTAATAACTTAGAAAAGGACATAGACAAGTTGGTGGAGCAGGTGGCTAGCTGACAGATGAAGTTCAACGCAGACAAGTGACAGATAATGTCGGTACAGGATGGATTGAGTACGATAGCGAGGAATGACCACAGGTCGGAAGATGTAGGATTCATATGGGTGGAGGTAAGAAACAAAAAGGACCTCATATGCACCCTAACACTAGCTCTTTGCTTGGACAGAGAATAAATCAGGAGATAATGAGAGCATGTAACCAAACCAGTACATTAATCATGGGCAATGTTAACCTTCATGTAGTTTGGGGTAGTCAGATTGGCAGAGATAGTCAGAAGGAAGAATTCATAGAGTGTATTCGGGGACAGCTTCCCTGAATATCAAATTGTGCAATCAGCCTATTTTGGATCTGGTGTAATGAGACAGATTTACTAAATGATGCCAGAATAAATGATCCCCTAGGAAACAGTGATGATAATATGGTAGAATTTAGCGTTCAGTTTGAGGGGGAGGAACTTGGGTCAGAAATAACTGTGCTACGTTTACATAAGGACAGTTACAAAGAAATGAGGGCAGAGCTGTGGAATGGACTGGGAAAGGAGTCTAACAGCAAAGAGGATTGAGGAATAATAGCAAACTTTCAAAAAAATTGTTCCTGGCTCACAGCAAGATATATCCCAGTGAGGAAAAAGGATTCTTGGAAGGAGAGAAGCCAAATATGGGTAACCAAGGAAGTTAAGGAAAGCATCAAATTGAAATAAAAAGAGAAATTGTTGGCCAGGGCCTGCTCACACATACAAGCAGCAGTTTGTGAACTGAAGTTACCTGAGCCCCAGCCATTGGCGTGGGCTGGTCTGAACTGGTTCAACTCAGAGTGATGACATAGCATGCAAGTCCTCATTTGGAGGAAGAATAATGAGGTACTCCTCATGGTGTCCTTGGAGTGAGCCTATAGTGGAAAGACACCGACTCGTCAGATGAGCTAAGAACCAACAAGGGCAAGGCACCACAGTTTGGGAAGATAAGGAGAAAGGATAAAAATGAAGGATTTTAGTGTGTCAGCAGCAAAAACTCTGGACAGCAATCTTCACAAAGTTGTGGACACCATGCTTGGAAGCATGGAGATAATTCTGAGACCTGGGAGAAATCACCTAGACAGCGTGAGCTTCTATTCTCAGGTATTATTTTCGTTGACTGTTCAGGGAATGTCATTGGAAAACTAGTTTGTGCGTGACCTGCTTGGATTTTAGCCTTGTATGAATTGCATGCACACAGTTAACCTTTTCTTAATCAAATGGTATGAATTGTATGTCTGTTTTAATTAAACTAATAAAGATAGTGGTTAGTTGGTAGAGATTTGGCTCTTGTCCTCTTTGTTTTGTGCCAATGACTGTTGTCGATGGCAGTAACCGGGCAACAGAACACATTTTGACAAAGATTAGTGGTTACCCAGAGGATTGAGAAAGTTTTAAAAACCAACAAAAGACGAAAAAAGGGTGAAGAAGATCTTTGAGCGTAAACTTACAAGTAATATCAAGATGGACAGCAAAAGATTCTTTAAATAAAAAAAAAAAAGAGAAGAGGGTTAAGTGAACAAATATCCTTGGAGAACGAACCTGGGGAAATAATAATTGAGAACCAGGAAATGGTGGAGGAATCAAATCAATATTTTGCATCAGTCCTCACAGTACAAGACACCAACAACATTCCAAAATTAGAAAGTAATCAAGGTGCAAAAGGAGTAAAGGAAATAAATGCAATAACTATAATTAGAAAAAAAGTCCCAGGGAAACTAACAGGGCTGAAAATTGACAAGTCCCAAGGACCTCATGGGATGCATCCTAGGGTATCACAGGAAGTAGCAACATAGATAATGGATGCATGGGCAGTAATCTACCAAGAATCCTCAGATTCTGCTAAAGTCCTAGGGGATTGGAAAACCGCCATTGCAACATCTTCATTTAGAAAGGTAAGGACACAAAAACACAGGTAACTAGAGACCAGTTAGATTAATGTCTACTATTCAGAAAGCATTAGAGTTTAGTATAAAGGTTATAATAGCAGAGTATTTAGAAGTATATGATATGATCAAGCAGAATCAACATGGTTTCATGAAGGGGAAATCATGCCTGACAAATTCACCAGAATTCTTTGAGGAGGTAACAAGCAGGTTGGATAAAGGGGAAACAGTGAATGCAATTTATTTAGATTTTCTGGCACCTTCAATAAGATACAATACATTAGGGCATTTAATAAGCAAAGAATCCAAGACCTCGTTGTGTTAGAAGTCATATATTAGCATGGATAGAGGATTGGTAAACTAATAAAAGACAGGGAATTAGGAAAAGGTGGGGGGAGCTTTTTTCACAATGGCAACTTGTAACTAGTGGAGTGCCACTGGAATCAGGGCTGGGGCCACAATTATTTACTATATATCAATGATGTGAATTATGGAAGTGAATGTCCTATAGCCACATTTGTGGTTGACACAAAAATAGTTGGAAAGTCAAGTGCTGAGATGACAGAAAGATTGTAGAATGATATAGACAGATTAAGCAAATAGGTAAAGACATGGCAGATGGAACATAATCTGGGAAAATGTGAGGTTAAGCACTTTGACATGAAGAATAGAGGAGCTGAATATTATTTAACTGGAGAAAGACAGTAGAAATCTACTTAACTAGAGGGATTTGTGAGTCCTTGTGCATGAATTAGAAAAAGCTAGCATCCAAATTCAATGGATCTTTGGGAAGGCAAATGAGATGTTGGCCTTTATTTGAATTTGAATTAAGAATTAGATTTATTGTCATATGTACTCACATGAATACAGTGAAAAGTTTACGAGTTGCCACTTACGGCGCCATCTTAGATACAAAGGTACCTAGGTATAGAATCTTTGTACAAGGGAATGGAGTATAAAAGTAGGGAGGTTTTGCTAAAATTATACAAGGCACTGGTCAGACCACAACTAGAAACTGTGGATAGTTTTGGGCCACTTACCTAAGAAAAGATATATCGGCATTGGAGGCAGTCCAAAGAAGCTTCATTAGACTGATACCACTATCTGACTGTCTTCTGAATTTTATACTGCAGAGGGCTGTCAAGGCTGATTTGTTAAGTGTATTTAAGGCTGAGACTGACAGATTTTTAATCAGTAAGGGAATAGAAGATCATGTGGAAAAGGCAGGAAAGTGGAGTTGAAGTTTATCAGCCATGATTCAATTAAGTGGTAGAGCAGACCTATTGGGCTGAATAGCCCACTTCTGCTCCTCTGTTTTATGGGCTTATGATGCATTTGCTAGGAAGAACATGAACAGACAATGTAAAATAAGGGGAATAATTCTAACAGGATGTGCAGGATAAAGGCATCTGGATGTACATGTGCACAGATCATTTAAAGTAGAAGAACAATTGATAAAGCATACAGTATATTGGGCTTTATTAATGAGGGTAGGGCACAACAGCAAGGAGGTGATGCTGAACCTGTACAATGTGCTGGTTACACCTCAACTGGGGTCTTGTGCACAGTTCTGGCACCACACTATAGAAAGCTGTGAATGCATTCAAGAGACAACAGAAGAGATGTGAAAGATGATCCCAGGTTGAGAAACCTCAGATAACAGGATACATTGAGAGGTTAGGAATGTTAATCTTGATGAAAAGGACGCTAACAAATGATTTGACAAGTTTTCAAGATCATGAGGGCTGGATAGAGTAAAGAGAGGGAAATATTTCCCATCGTAAAAGGATCAAGAATGAAAGGGCACAAATTTAAATTCATTTACAGAAGAAGCAAATGTTATTTGAGAGAAAAAAAACTTTTTCACATGAGTGATTCGGGTCTGGAATGCACTGCCTGGAAGTGTGGTGGAGGCAGGTTCAATTGAGTTATTCAAAATGGCATTAGATGATCCTTTAAACCAAAACAATGTGCCACAGCATGAGGAAAAGGCATGATGCTCATTTGGAAAGCTTATGCAAACATGATAGGTCAAATAGCCTCCTTCTGTGCCATATCCTTTCTGTGATCCTGGGACAAAATCCCTTGTCTGTTCTGGTTGGTTTGCATGAAGCTTTGAGAAAGTGATGCTCGAGATAATTTTTTTTGTTACTGGATTCAATACGTGACCTAAAGAAAAGCGACCATTAACTCGGCAGGTGGTGGAAAATTGTGTCCTATGTAATAAACTTTCACAAGGAATTCTGTACGAGGGAATATTCTTACACATGTAGTTAGAATGGATGAAAGAAAACTTCATATAAAGCTGGGCACGATAAATGGGTAACCAAAATGTACAGCTCAGAAAAAAGTGAAATGAAATTCTACATGTCTTCTTAAAATACTTTGAGTGATGAAACTAATGGTACACTCTTGGAGTGATATGGAATAACTATATATGTGGCTGGCAACTTTGCATCTCATTATTTTCTCAGCTGTATGTAAAGATTTCACATGACAAGTAAATGGTTGCAGTCGTGAAAGTTATATCCAATGTGCTCTCCAAGATTTATTCTTCAATCAACGTCACAGAAACAGATTATCTGGTAATTATTACATTCTGTTTCTGGGTTCTAACTCCTACGTTACAAAATTCTTCAGGACTTTGAGGTGGTGAAAGGTAATGTATAAATACAAACAGTTTCCCTGCCCCGCCCTCCCTATTTTAGCAATAATTTTGTGACTCCTGGTGGTCTCAAAGATCTCAAGGACGTGGCGAATATACACATCAAAAGGAAATTACATGAATTAGTTGCCACTCAACAATGACAGCAATTAGGTGGGACATCTATTCTGCAGTCTGATGTACTTCTAATAATTCCATTCTGCAACCAGATGAATTAAAAGCTTGATGGAAATCTGTATTCTACGTAGAATTAAAATTTGAATAAATTGTCTACAATGATTATTCTACATTAACATAATGGTTCTGAAAATACTTTGGGAGAGGCTGTTTAAAAATTCGCAAAATCATTATTAATGTGTACATTTATAAGTTGCCGGTTTAACAATAGTTTGCGAGAATTTCACGGACTGTTTCTTCCCCTCAAACACTTTTATTAGCTGCAAGGGTTACTATAATAACCATAATTTCAAAGATTCACATTTGAATAAATCTTGTTAAATGTGATTTGAAAGCCTCAAAGGTTATTAAAGCTGGATTATGTTTATTTAATTAAAAACAACCATCTACATTTGATAAATGCCATTTAGCATGCAGATTAAAATATTGGAATTCTGCATCAGTTAGAACTTGCAATTTTAAGCAGGAAAGCAAATAATGCATTATTAAATGTCAGGATAATAGTTAAAGTTCTCACTTTTTGTGTGCATGGAACGAAGTGTAAGTGAAGCTCTTCCCCTCAAACTCTGTGAAGAATGTGCTGTCTTCCATCTTAATGTGATAGACTTCATTGCCTGAACACTTGCCATACACCTTTTGCCACTGTTCATGGGATTGGTGGCCATCCCTGAAAAATACCATAGCAGAAAAATATCTGAGAATATTAATTCGAACGTAGAACAAATGTAAATCATTGGCAGTTTGTGGGCACATTATTGCAGATGCATATATTTGCACTTCACCTGGTTTGAGTCTGCCTAGTTCCAGTTAGTTGTCTAAATGCCTCCCACGGTGCCGATCTGAAAAGAGTTATAATAAGTCCATTACTTCAATTCCAATACTGTAATTTAGATAAACAAGTAAAGTCTCATTATTTGTTCTTTACCATTCGCAAATGCACTTAGCTGCATGAAACATGATGTATGCCATTTCACACATCATGGATCTGATGTTTATTGTTTTCAGAAAAAAATAGAAAACTTGGGAGAAAAGACAATTAGAAAGTATCCGGAATTAAAAGCTAGCCCAATGCCAACCATGCAACCGTTGTCAATTGTCTAATCTAATTCATTAATATCTAGAGGGACAGAAATGTTGTCTTTACCTAGTCTGACCTATAGGTGACTCTAGACGCACAGCAATGTGGTTGGCTCTTAACAGCCCTCTGAAATGGCTTAAGGAGGCAATCTGTTCAAGGGTAATTAGGATGGGCATTCAATGCTGACCTAGTCAACATCATCCACATTCTGTAAACAACTTAAAGGTAAATCAGGGGCATTGGGTGAGGAGGGTTATTCCACCTTAGGGAGGGGGGCAGAGGGGTGGGACAGTCGGTTTTAAACTCTGTGCATGAAAGAAGGAAGAGGATACACTATGCCTTGAGGAGACTACAAAACGCACCCGCCACCACCTTCCTTCCTGCTGTTTTATAAAGGGCTGCCCGCTCTCACACCAATTGTGCTCTGGTGTGGACAGGGTATTATTAGGGTTTTCACATATAATGGGCAAGCTGATGACTTTGGGAGCCACTCAGTCTCCATATTATGGGGTGAGCTCACGGTGAAAACAGACCCAGCAGGGACATGTAACAGCCAGTCCCATCTCTTTTTAGCTACTTATTCCCTAACTACCTTTTTATTTCATTCTGTTGTTTGCCTTTCCCAATTACGTGTCTGAGCTATATCTGTATATTCTATTTGAAATGTGAACAATTTTTCCAAGGTGCTTTTTTTCCTAACATGCTTTTTTCTCCCCATTCTCTTGGTTGCATCCAGTTACTTCCTTAAGTTAGCCACCAATCCCTTTAACTCTGTGTCTCGAAAGCAAAAAGTTTCTAGTGGAAGATTGAACTTTGCAATGCCTTTATGTCCTTGGGATAATTCTAAACGTTTCATGTGTTCAGAACTGGCTTGAAGGTAGAAGACAGAGGGGGGTGGTGGTGGAGGTTTGCATTTCAGACTGTGACCAGTGGTGTGCAACAAGGATCGGTGCTGGGTCCACTGCTTTTTGTCATTTATATAAATGATTTGGATGTGAACATAGGAGGTACGGTTAGTAAGTTTGCAGATGCCACCAAAATTGGAGATGTCGTGGACAGCAAAGAAGGTTTCCTCAGAGTACAATGGGATTTTGATCAGATGGGCCAATGGGCCAAGGAATGGCAGATAGAGTTTAATTTAGATAAATGTGAGGTACTGCATTTTGGAAAGGCAAATCAGGGCAGGACTTATACACTTAATGGTAAGGTCCTGGGAAGTGTTACTGAACAAAGAGACCTTGGAATGCAGGTTCATAGTTCCCTAAAAATGGAGTCGCAGGTAGATAGGATAGTGAAGAAGGTGTTTGGTATGCTTGTCTTTATTGGTCAGTGAATTGAGCATAGGAGTTTGGAGGTCATGTTGAGGCTGTACAGAACATTGGTTAGGCCACATTTGGAGTAATATGTGCAATTCTGGTCTCCCTCCTTTAGGAAGGATGTTGTGAAACTTGAAAGGGTTCAGAAAAGATTTACAAAGATCTTGCCAGGGTTGGAGGATTTGTGCTACAGGGCTATTTTCCCTGGAACATCAGAGGCTGAAGGGTGACTTTATACAGGTTTATAAAATCACGTGGGGCATGGATAGGGTAAATAGGCAAGGTCTTTTCTCCAGGATAGGGGAGTCCAAAACTAGAGAGCATTGTTTTAAGGTGAGAGAGGAAAGATATACAAGGGAGCCAAGGGGCAACATTTTCATGCAGAGGGTGGTGCATGTATGGAATGAGCTGCCAGAGGAAGTGGTGGGGGCTGGTACAATTACACTATTTAAAAGGCATCTGGATGGGTATATAAATTGGAAGGGTTTGGAGGGATATGGGCCAAATGCTGGCAAGTGGGATTAGATTTATATAGGATATCTGGTCGGCATGGACGAGTTGAACCGATGGGTCTGTTTCTGCGCTGTATATCTCTATGACTTTGCTTCGGTAATCAATCCTTCACTGCATGGTGAAACAAGTTCCAGTACAGGATATTTCACAATGCAGGATTTTTGACAAACATACTGCATAGACATCACTGGCTTAGGTTCCGATATTGTAATTAACAATACCTATTCTACTCTAAACTAAATTCATTTGAACTAATTACCTGTATCTGCTTGTCTGCCTTAATGCGAATCTCCTCGCTAAACCAAACTTGTGTATCACATTCTCTCAGGAAAACAAAAATCAATCTTTGATTCCCTGAGCTTGAGTTCAGAAAAGTTGTTAGTACAACCTTATTCCACAGCGATGAGAATTTAGCTAGCTCCCAGTTTCAATTTCATAATCAGTAAAATTTTATTGACTTAATTAATATTAATTAATATCTATATATTCTTTCCATTCATCTATGATTCAGACCAAAAATACATCATAATTGATGTTCTACAGATACATGTGGGCTTTTAGCTCATCAAAAATAAAATTGCACTTAGTGCCTTTCCCAACCTCAAGACATCTTGAAGTGCCTTATAATCAATTATGTAATTTTAAAATGTTGTCTCTGTTATAATATGAAAAAAAACACAGCAATCAATTTGGTACAGCAAGACTCCACAAATAGCAATGAGACAAATAGCCAGAAGATCTGATTTAAAGTAGGAGCAAATTACTGCAGATGCTGGAATCTGTACTGAAAACAACAAATGCTGGAGATCACAGTGGGTCAGACAGTATTCATAGAGAGAGCAAGCTAACGTTGCAAGTCTAGATGACTCTTCTGATTTAAACATTGATTGCAAAATGAATATTGGTCAGACCAACTGTAGAATACTCTTACTCTTCTCATTTATATACTTTTGCATTTACTGTCGGTTGTGGCTTAATTAGTGCCATTGTCACCTCATTGTCAAAATGTTGTGGGTTAAGTCCCACTCTGGGACTTGAGCAGAAGACTCAAGTTTTGACCACTCTCCAGTCTTATACAGTGGAGGGGCTTACACTGTCAGAAGAGGAGCCACTTTTCAGGCACTATTTCAAAGAAGACCAGCAGTGTTAATCCTGGTGTCCTCTCTAATATTTATCACTCAATTAATGGAACAGATACAGTTAATCTTGTCATTAGCACGTTGCCGTTTCTGGAAGCTTGCTGTGTGCAATCCAGTTGCCACATTCCCTCCACTTCAACACTGGCAACTTTTCTGTAAACATAGAAACATAGAAGATAGGGGCAGGTCTAGACCAATTGACCCTTCAAGCTTGCTCCGCCATTTAATATGATCATGACTGATCGTCGAGCTCAATACCCTAATCCCACTTTGCCCCCACTCCACCTCCTGTATCACTGGATCCCTTCAGCCACAAGAGCTATATCTATCTCTTTTTTGGAAACAGAGTACTTTGGCATTAATAACTTTTTGTGGCAGTGAATTTCACAGGCTTACCACTCTACGGGTGAAAAAATTGCTCCTCATCTTCACTTCTTATCCTTAAACTGTGACCCCCGGTCTGGACTCCCCTACCATCAGGAACATGTTTCCTGCATCTGACCTATCTAGTCCCGTTAGAATTTTAATGGTTTCTAGCACATGTCCCCTCATTCTTCTAAACTCTAGTGAATAAAATCACAAACAACTGAATCTCTCCTCATACACCAGTCCTGTCGTCCTAGGAATCAATTCAGTAAACCTTTGCTCTGTAGCAAGAACATCCTTCCTCAGACAAGGAGACCACACTGCATACAATATTCCAGGTGTGGTCTCACCGATGACCTGTATAAAAGCAGCATGTCATCACTGTTCCTGTACCCGAATCCTCTCACTATGAAGGCCAACATACGGTTTGCTTTCTTTACTGCCTGTTGCAGCAGCATAGTTATTTTCAGTGAATAGTGTGTGAAAACATTCAGGTCTTATTGAACATTCCCATTTCTCAATTTACAGCCATTCAAATAACAATCTGCCTTCCTATTTTTGCTACCAAAATGAATAACCTCACATTTGTCCAAATCATATTGCATCTACCATACACTTGCCCACTCAGTCTGTCATCTCTGCATCCTCATCCCCTTCCACCCAGATTTGTGTCATCGGCAAATGTTGAGATATTACATTTAGTTCCCTCATCTAAATCATTAATATATATCGTGAACAGCTGGTACTTTCATGTACTTCCATGATACATCCATAGGACTTTTCTGTAAACAAAGCATTTTGGGTTGATCTTCGGTCATAAAAACTGCTATATAAATGCAGATCTGTCTTTTTTGGATCAATAACAAATTCCAGTTTTAATCAGTTTTAATGCTTTGGCTGTGGAAGTAACAAGAACAGGAAGCGTATTCCATGTTGATTTAATAGTTCTACAGCATCTGGAATCTCTACCAAAATGTGAGCATTTAAAAGCTGACGCCACCGATGGTTCAACACTCCCTCCGTGGTTCACAACAAATTGTGCAACAACCTAAATTGTACATTCACATCTGGATTCAGGGCTCAGGTTAACTTGTATACTCAAAAGTATGGCATTAACTCTAATAACTTTGTGGGTGAGGCGCAAACAAAGCTAATATTTCAAAAAAGGCTAGCACTTACTGTCCCCTGGAGGTATGAACCAGCAGAGTAATCAGTGTTGATGTGGCTGGACAGATGCAGTTCAGAGCCAGCATGGCATATTTGAATTCCTCTTCACATACAACGTGATCTAAATAAAAGCACACATATAGTTAACTGAAGTGATGCAATTAAAACAGTATGAAGCTGTATTCACATATTAATCAACTGCCTAAATATTACATAAAAGACATATTTAAATTTCACACATCTGTGAAGTATTTCCTCTTCAATGCATTCCAAAAATTGTGTGTTATAGTAGGGGTTTACCCGACTGATCTCATTCCTGATTGCACTGGAGCAACAGAAGTGCAATCCAAAGCAACTAGTTATTTGGTCAGCAAACACAGCTCTGACCGTACTATCACAAAAGGAGGACAGAGATGATTCTAACTTGACAGTATCTTCTTAGTAGAAGCTGCATACGTAGGCAGTTAAAATTATCCAAGTTATTTACTCACCCTCAAGTCACCTTGAATTTCTGGGACCAAGTTTACTGCCAATTAGTCAGGCAACATTTACATGCACCCTTTCATAACTGTGGAGTCTTTTTGTTAAAATGCAAATCGAGGATCTATGAGATCACTGGGGCCTGACTGTAAGTATACTTCTGGTCTGAGTGGGAAAGGCCTGAAGAGTCATATTGGACTTTCATCATTGGCTGATTCACTTGCCACAGATCTGCTGAGATTCTCAGCCCTTTCTGCTTTCATTCTAGATCTCCAGCATCCACAGTCCTTTTGCCTTTATCTGTAACCTACCTGCCAGACCGAATACAGTTGGGAATTTGAAGATGTTCAAACCGCTTACTTAACTTCTGCGGCAAGTGGAATCAAAAATGTTCCTTCAAGTTTCCAATGGCCACGTTTATTCAGGATTTCTGCATATTTTCTCCCAAAGTTGAGGGAACCTTCAGGGAAAATTCAGTATTGGTTTTGAAGAGTCAATCAGTCTCCCAAACAAACAGATCTCCCAATCAGGTGACTGGTACGTTAACTGCAAAAATCTCTTTGTTACTGGTTAAAGACCACAGGTTACAGCAACTGGCGAGCAAAAATAAACTGGCTTTCGCTTGCATTTAAATATTTTACTGGAGCGAAAAACACACTATCTACCCTTGCAGCAGTCCAAAAGCTTTTGCCAGTATTGTTCAAACCCACAAGCTGTTCAGCTGTTGAGGAGTCAATCACACGGTTGTCATCAAACTGAAAGCCTTTGGTATCCACAACTGGCCACAATTCCACAAACCGATCACCAACCTGATGCCAGATGAATCTCACTTTGTACACACCCCCTGGTGCCGGCCTGTCTCCAAATCGCACTCCCCCCCCCCCCCCATTGCTTGAACAAAGCAGCAGTGTAAACACAACTTGCAATGAGTTTCAGTCACTTGCTTTTTAGAAGTACAGCAATTCCTTCCTCTGTGCTTAGTTTTAAAGAGTTAATTTTTTATTTTAGAGCACAATCAATAATATAGAAAAATGAAAAAAATGTGGTCTTTACAGTGTGCCATGAGAAAAACTGCACATCTGTATCTATGTGATAGAACAGAGCAATTATCTCGCTGTAGACTATAATAACGGAAACAGTGTGAGCAATAAAAACAGCCCATTACACCACTATTAGATAAACTATCCAAATAAATAAAACAAGAATATTTGTAATAAGAAAAAGTATGCCTGATAGGCTGACACAATAAGACATTTATTTTTTTGGTGTGTTGCTGACTGAGAATCTAATTTTCGCAGGTAACGCTTTACCAATGGTGGTATCAGTTTGAGGAAGAAATGAATAACCAGGGTTTCCGATCTGAATTTTATTTTTGATCTACCTTATGGCAGACGAGACAATGTCATCAGTGAAAAATAAGGAAATACAAATGGTCATTAAATTGATTTTTGCTAGATTAAATGCAGAAGTCCTGTATCACAATAAGGAGGGAGGGGGTTCATGCCAGGAGAGGGACTGAGAAATGTTGAAAACTTTGCATCAAAATAAAGCTTTAAAAATTGAGTATGCAGTATAGCAAAGAGCATGAAGAAACTGTTTTAGAGCAACAAGGACAGGAGATCTCAGCTGTCTGAGTGAAAGTGACTTCACAAGTCTTGAGTGCAAAATTTAACTTGGCCCCCATGGGCTGAAGAGGCAGGGGAAGAGCATCTGTTGGACACAGGCTTTCTTAAGAGGAAGGACTCCACCCTGGCGCCTAATCCACAACCAGGCTTCTAGGCAAAGTAGTTCAGGGAAGGTTCACTTGGCTAATTCCTGAGAATGAAGGGGCTGTCTTATGAGGAAATATTAAGAGTAGTGAGCCTATATTTGTTGGAGTTTAAAAGAATGAGAGGTGATCTTACTGTAACTTGGAGGACTGTGAGGGCCTTGATAGACTAAATACTGAGAGGATGTTTCCACAAGGGACACAGTTTCAAAATATGGAGTCTACCATTTAAGACAGAAATGAGAAGGAGTTTCTTCTTCAAGAAGATATTTAATGTTTAGAGTTCCCTTTCATAGACAGCAGGAGAGACTGGATCACTCAATATATTGAAGGTGATGAGTCAGACAGAATTTTCTTTGACAAAGGAGTCAAAAGGTTCATGTGGAATGGATACTAAAGTGCTGTAAAGACCACAATCAGATCAGCCATGATTTATTGAATGGCAAAGCAGGTTAGAGGGGCCAAATGTTCTTATGATGTTACAAGAAGAGGTCTATAAGTAGCTCTTAACTGGGAAATTTAGGAAGACCACTTTGTTATTTGTTACAACTAGGTAAGGAGGGATGAATTGAATTCCTCAATATCGCCTCCCCAGTTAAATGCATCAAGAGTTTAAGGTTTTTCAGCATAAAGTTATACCTTTCTTGATGTATATGTAGATAACTAATTTGTACTGTGGCAGTGATGAGGTAATTACAAGGTTTTGTCAAGTTAAAGAAGAGAGAGATGATTACCTCCTAGCCCTGAAGAGAAGTACTAAAGGTGCAATGTCAGGCTAAAGGCCTTTGTATAGTCTTAGACATAAACATACAAAGGCACAAAGTTAAAAGGGACAGTGTCCAATACAAAAATATAATAAAACAATGTACAGTTTGGAGGCATTTGGTGTTGTTGAGGCATAAGGGTTTAACCTAAGATCACTGTTGTTTAGTTGATTTCTGGAACACTCAGCAGTAGACATATTGTGGTTATCTTTTAAGTTCTCATTTCTTGATGTTTCTTTTCAGTGTTGTTACCAGGCTTTAAGTCTTGATAGAGAGAGAGAGAGAGAGAGAATGAAAAACAGAGGCTTTTTCAGCCTGCTTCAGTTCTGCACTGAAAAATTCATTTCCTTTGCTTTTGCCAATGAAGGAGTCCTTAAAATAGCAGATTGCTTATGTATGCCATGTCTATGGGAGTTAGGTTTTCAGGTCTGATAATTGTAGGCAAGGCACTAGCTTCAACATATGAAGATTCTGACATTGGTGTAAAGACTAGTGTGCCTTCTCACATCACCCAAGGGAGAGGTTTTCTAACTAGTTCCATTGCCCTTGGGTATAATGTTATCTTCTGTTCATGCTTTTGTTTGATAAATGCACGTTATTTTCATGAAACTTGGTCAAACTACATGTTCAAAGGATGCCTGTGGCCATTTTTAATTTGTACCTTTGGTCCTTTTCTAAAAACCCTTTCAGTCCCTTTAAGACATTTAAATCCCACATATGAAAATGGATGAAGGAATTTGCAACTTAATAATCAATATTCTACATAATTGTGACAAACAATATTACACCCCCCCACCCCCAGCAACTTCAGTGAATTCAGGCCACTTCCCGTCCCAAACAGAGGTCCAACAAGTCTAGTCACCTGCTCCAGGGATTCTTTTATTACCAAACTCCAATAAACAAAAGAATATTGGTCTTTCAGTTTCAAGGGTTTAATGTAGCATTGTAATTTAGACAATTTTTACAGCAGTGTTTGACAATAAGGTTCCATCCTGCAAAGGCATGTTGACAAATTTTGATCAACATTGCTTGAGGAGGGGCATTGGGGTTTTAAGGGGGCACATGGGTTATGAGAGGGATGTTGTTTTGAGAGCCTGTCATTCATTTTTAAAACCAGCCCAACATCTCAGGAAACTAATGCAGAACTCACTGCCTGTTGGCCTAACCATATGCCTTGGGTCTGCTTCCTAAGGAATCTGGTCCAGCTCCATCATTCATCTCCCACCCCTCACTTTTTCCAAGAAGTAAAAAAAGTGGGTGGGATCCCATTGAAAGGAGACAGGTACGCCAGGTCAGACCATATGCCCCAACCTGACTTTCCTTCCTCCCCCATTAAAGTCCAACCCAATGTGTTTAACAGGTTTTAATGGAAAATCAATCAAGATAACCTTACAACTGCATTTTCTTCTAAATATCTTCATAGTTACTTATGGATAACCAAGTTAATACTTGAAAATTATTAATTTATACTACGTCCCAACAACAGGCCTTCAACTTAAAATGATAACCTCATCTACTTCACCAAATCTATAAATCAGTCTATCCACTAACATCATGTCACACTTGTCCCAAGATGTGCTGCTGACCTTATTTTTATGCTATTAGTATGATCACCATCACTGCCTCAGTAAAATCCCTCGACTTCACCTGCCTCAGTTTACCTGCTGCTAGAACCCTCACTGTGCCCTCTGTACTTCTAGACTTGACTATACCAATACATAATGAGGCCCACATTGTATCCTCCATAAATTGGAGGTCATCCAAAACTCAGCTGCTCATTGGCTCCCTGTCAGGCTGGACTAGATCTATGTGTAAATACTTAGGTTTTGTGAACTGTTCTTGTAGCCAAACTACCATCTACCAGGCACAGAGTCATGAGGGTGATGGAATACTCCCCACTTGCTTGATGACTGAAGCTTCAAGCTTGGCGCTATCCAGGACATAGCTGCCCACGTAACTGGCACCACATTCACACATTCAATATTCACTCCCTTCACCATCAGTACATGGTAGCAGCAGTCTGTACCATCTGCAAGATAGATTTCATTAACTTTGCAAAGGTCCTCCAAAATGACCTTCCACCTCCTATCAGCTACCATCTAGAAGGATAGGGACAACAGGTGCATGATGGAAAGACCACCCCCTGCACGTTACCCTCCAAGTCACACACCATCCAGACATGGAATTTCAATTCCATTCCTTCACTGTGTTTTCTTTATTTATCCATTTGTGGGATGTGGGCATCACTGGCTGGGCCAGCATTTATTGCCTGTCCCTAGTTGTCCTTGAGAAGTTGATGGTGAGCTGCCTTCTCAAACCGCTGCAGTCCACTTGCTGTGGGTTAACCCACAGTGCCCTTAGGTAGGGAATTCCAGGGCTTTGACCCAGCGACAGTGAAGGAACGGCAATATATTTCCAAGTTGCTGGATCAAAATCCTAGAAATACTTTCCTACTTTCCTTGTGTAATTATACCCCAAGGACTGCAACCATTTAAGAGGGCAGTTCACCATCACATTATTTAGGGCAATTAGGGATGGATACTAATTATTGGCCTAGCCAGTGAATATCACATCCTGTGAACAAATTAAAAATAGCAACATTGTGCTTTTAAATTTCTGATGTTTGTTTCCATATCTCTCCATGGCGTCACCCTTCCCAATCTCTACCATCTCCTCCAAACCCAAAACCCTTCCAGATATCTGCACTCACCTTATTCTGGTCTATTATGCACTCACTATTATAATTGTTTCACCATTAGTGGCCTTCAGTTGCATAGAAAGATCCCACAAACAGCAAAGTGGTATTGACCAGATAATCAGTGTTTTACAGTGTTGCATGAGTGATAAACATGGGCCAGAACACCAAGGACAGTTGTCCTGCTCTCTTTCAAACAGGATCACAATATATTTGCAATGGCAGAAGGAACTTCACTTAAAAAAAAACCTTTTCTGAAAGATGATGCTGCAAAAAATGCAGCACCCATCATTAAAGCTGTGTAATATCTTGATTTTCAGCTCCAACTTCTGAAATTGGGCTTCAAAAGATAGCCTTTTTAATCAGAAGTAAGTGTGTTATCTTTGAACCCCAAAGAAAAACTACTACCTGAGTTGACTCCTGATATCCTACATTTGGTGACTCACTGATAATACATCTCTACATTATCTTTACATAGAAATATTGAAAAGAATGTCTGTAGGTTGAATCTGATTATTTTTGGCTAAGTGCCAGTTACACAAGGTGTTTGGAGAGACTTTCACCACGAGGCTTAGCCAGTTTTCTCACCATATCTTAGCAAACTCACTTCATTAACCAGCCCTATGGCACCCTCTCATCCTATTCCATTCCCCTCGAACCACACATCATTCATAGAACAGCTCACTATTCAGCAGCTATCCCGGAATTGACAGACATCCCTAGCAAAGACGCAGACTTTAAAAAGGCTGTGGCGCACATTGTCAAGCAGTGTTAGTCCTGAGCTTCCCTGGCATTTGCCATGGACCGTGGCACTCAGGAAATTTGGCACCTCAGTGTGCGGACAGGGCCTCAAAGGTCCTGCTGGATGGGGTGGTGCACAGGTGGGATGCCAGCAGAGAATGGCACAACCGCAGACCACTCCAGCCTGGTCCAGTCCATGAGCTGTGTCCATTTTTCTGTCTGCACAGGCACTTGACAGCCACATTGCAAGGCAGCAGCATCTTATACATGTAACAGACCTGGGCGATGAGGGTTCTTGGAGACTGGCACTTGTCAGATGCCAGAGTCTGTGGATTTGGGGTGCATGTGGCTGGTGCCCCAAAAAAAGGTATTTGCCTGCTGTTCCACATGGAGACCTTTGGAGAAAGCAATGAGTCGGATTCGCCAGATACCTGCTGATATTCCATGCTGAGAATCCTCCAACTCTTGTCTGTTTGGTACATTTGGTGAGATAAGCTGAATATTAATGAGACAAGTTTTGCTTTTAGAAAAACATTTCACAAGTAATAATCACCCTGAGTTTGAAGCCCATCACTGCTTTGCAAAAATAAACCCATCTCATTGCTTGGCAAATACATAAAGATACAGCTATATGCTCCAAATATTGAGGTAGGCCTCAATAGACTTCTCGTTTAATTCTGTCGCAAATCTCACTATAACCGAAGTTATTAAGATCGTTAAAAGATCCCGCTCCATGTCAGCTGTTCAGGTCTAAACAGACTTATTTCCTATTTGTTGTCTTTGGGGTCTATTGCTCACTTAATTTTTCCAGCACTGAATCTCTTAGCCTGGTATTACCTGCTCATCCTTCCACTGTGCAATTTTACTCCGGCTGATTAATTGACTAAGTGCCCTTTGCTCAACGCCAATTATCCGTCTATATAGATTGAAGTGCAGTGAGGAAAGCTGAGCAATACAAACCGAAAGTCAAAAAGAAAAACAACAAGCCGAGGTGGAAGGGCCTTGTTGAGGTTTCCACCTCAAAATGTAGGCTGGTCTCGTTCATTGAAGGTATTATGACCAAGATATCTTGTCTGCTGCAGCTTAATATAGATATAGCACAAAGCACTGAAACAGCCCTTCCTGTTCCTATGTCATTAAGCTTTTGTACAACAGAATCCTTCAAGTTCATAGCAGGGGACATCTGCCAAATAAGCCAGTCTGTGGACTATTTCAGCATGAAACAAGTGACCAATATCACATTTGCCAGAGGTAGCATCATTGGCAGTTTTCTCTTGGAGAGACCAAGTGAAGACAGCAGAAAATTTTTATCGACCATAAAGACATCTCAAGGGTACAATTCATCATAGATTTTGCCATTATGTGCTTTACAATAGGGACAAAGCCTTCAGGAAAGGCTCCCACTCAATTAATAAATGCCAATTTTCGGTACTATCCTGCATTTAAGTGCTCATTATCCAGAGTTCACCCGCAAGGTTTATAAACTGAGTAAACTTGCGGATGAAAATAAATTTGCTTTGAAATAACCAGCAAGCATTCGAACCAAAATGCTTTAAAATATTTTTGATGCTTTCCAGCTGAAACACCAGTGTAACCAAGGAAAAGTACTGTTATTCAATATTAAATAAACCAACAAATAAGTGAGAATGTAAGTTTGCGAATTATTACATTGAATTTCAATGATATTCCAAAAAGGTTTTCCATTTGATCACCACTTTTGTATATAGATTTTGTGTATCTATAATGTAGATACATATTATTGTATTTGGTGTTCCCCTCGAGCAATTTAATATCTAAATCCAAACATTTAACACTATTGCAAATTCAACTACAAATATAAACTTTGTAAGAGTCACTGTACAAAACATTCATTTCCTCTTAAATGGCACAGAATGCCTGTAGATGGCACTGAATTTGAACAGACATTGGGAGTCCCTGTTGACAAATCTGCTAAAAGTCTATAGGCAGCTGATGTTAGATGAATGCCAAAAGCCATTGTTTCTCACTGCTCATAGTAAAATTTGGGTTACTGTATTCCGCACATATAATATCATGGCAAATATGTTGCATGGCTGTTTTCCTTCCTGAATTATTTCGTGCACTCCAAACTGTGCACGTGTCACACTTCCTATTTAAATTGTTAGTTGCATTAATTTGAAATCACATAGTTGAAACAATGCATCACATGTCAAAGACAGGAAACAAATCTAAAGCGAAACCATATTTCTGTCAGTGAAAAATTACTGAATTAAGACCATCAACTAAACTGCCAGAAGTTGTTCATTACTAGGTTAGTAGCATCTTACTGTTCCATTTCTCTAAAGAAGTTACCTGCAAATTTGACATGGAATTTATTCTCAGGTTTCAGTATCTGAACGTAGAGGGGACACTTTGGCGCAAAATCTTTGACAGCCCATGCTCTCAGGATGGTTTGATGATCCTGGGTTAAAAAATACAACAAAAATACGTCTTATTTGGTGATGGGAATCGATGTGGGAAGATGAAATGGAAGACAATTATGACACGTATGCTGATACTAATAACCAGCTAAATGCACACAAGCACATGTGATATTCCATACAGTTACAACTAAATGTAGTCTTCACATCAATCTTACTGTTAAACTGACACTTCCTCAGTTCTTTTATTGGAGGAGTTAATTTACACAAAATTAATTGCCTCTATTGAGAGTCTATCATTTACTTCTCTGGGATAATTTTCTTAAAACAAGCCTCTCTAATGTCAAGGGTACTTCAACTATTGGAACCAAACTAATTTATTGTTGTAGAAAGCAGTGAAAGGGAAGTAATGTGAGTTTTGAGTACACACGTGTTCCAGAATTCTAGTTAATTTAACTCTGAAAGGACAAGTATCGAGAGATGAAATAAATTTGTGTTTATGATAACCCAAAGTGAATGTTGGCTTGGGCAGCTAATTTTGTTATTCACTTTCACCCTTGCTGTAGTTCTAACGACTTTAAAACAGTTAAAAAATTAACAGCATGGCTTCTATGGATATGAGCTTTGGGTTGATCTCTTATTTAGAATGACTAGAAAATTATCATATTATCATTGATATCTTCCCACCAATACTTGGTCAAAAATCTATCTGAAAATACCCATATCTAGGATCACAACTTTGGAAAGAGAATGTAAATCTTTTTCAAAATGGAGACATGGGAGTTGAGAAGTGGGAAAACTTTGGGAAATGCTCTTTCAATCCTGTTACAGCAAAAATAGATCTTTGATACTTAACATTTGCCAGTGCTTTAAGGATGAAGAAATTGGAGGCCGATTTGGAAAACATTAAGTTGAGATTGTGCTTTTAACTTGCTTCTCTTACTGGAGACTTGTTTTGCTTTTATTTTACATTGAATGTAACAAACACATGGATCAAACAGAGGATCATGGACCTGGGCTTAAAACTATTATTTTGATGATCTTAACATCTTGGTAATAAGTAATTGACCTTAATTGTAACCTATTGAACCTGACAATTTCTTGAACAGAAAGGGTTGCACGCACAAAAAAATGAATATAGATGATTTTTTTACTGGCATGGAATTGTCTGTACTTATCAAATGCTACATGCCTACTAACACCAAGCCTATCTGGCCAAGTGTCCCTTCAGCACCCTCCAAAAATTTCAGCTCAAAGACTCGAACGCCTATTTCTTAGTCTGTAGCAAATGAAGGTCATCCATCAATTCAGTCTTTTATTGAACTACAGTAGTTCCAGTTTCCCAAACATTTCAATTTAAAATTCTCCTCTTCACATTGAAATTCCTTCATCAAGAGTAGACAGTTCCACTAATGGCGGTATCTTGAACTAGGAGTCGCAGTTAGAGAATAAGGGGTCAATCATTTAAAACTGAGATTTGAAGGAATTGCTTCCCCCAGAGGGTAGGAAATGTCAAGAGTTCTCTACTGCAGAGAGTATTGGAGGCTGGATCACAAAGTATTCAAACAGGATTTGGACAGAGTCTTGAAATACCAGGGAGTTCAAGACTATGATGAGCTGACATGAATGAAGAGTTGGGGCCTGGGGTGGATCAACTATGATCTTGTTGGATGGCAGGGTTATCTTGAGAGGCCGAATGGGCTTACTCTAGCTCCTATAAATATGTCTTGAAATGTCCCCTTCCTGAAAGCCTGAACTGCTATGGTGAACACCATTTTATTCATAGAAGACATTGTAAATAATCTAAGTTTAAAAACAGGAAATACTTGATGGACCTGGCATTATTAGTGGAGAGAAAAACCAAGTTAATAGGCAAAGTTTTATGGTCTCTTAGAGTGGGGTAGTTGTGGGGCTGAGGATCCCATTGTATATAAAATTACGGTGAGGTCACCAGCTCATGGCATTACATCCAATTTTGTGTTCCTAAAGCCATTAAGCAGACCACTCACTTGTGGGCTAATTGAGGACCTTAATTGGTCAAGGGCTTCTCATCATTCCCCTGGCACTTCACCGTTTCCTATGTCATACGGAGGTCCTGCTGAACGGGGAGCCTTAACACTTTTCATTTCTTTCGTTGGGTTGTTGGGCAAGAATGGGATACCTCCTTCATATCAGAGGCCTCATCCCAAGGGATTCACCCCCTTGTCTCCCCCACACAATCCCAGTCTGTCCACCTAATCCTCCTACCCAGAAATGCCACGATGGTCCTGTGAAAACCAATCCCCTACTTACCGCCGCATCTGACTCTAGGCCTAGCAGTGGTGATACCGGCACCAGAGAGCTGATGGTCATTTGATTATGCCAACTGTTTTTGGAGGTGGGTCTCCATCTCCAGACGGGGACGGAAGATTATTCCTGAGCCAATTAAGCCCAACCCCATAACCTCTCTTACCTTCCATGCAGTCCTTCCACCCACACAGCCAATCCCTCTGCTAATTTAGTGCCCACCCACACCCCATCCTTTGCCCTTAGATGTAATATACCAATTGACCAAGTATATACTGTGGGTGGAACTCAGGATCCATTCTGAGATGATGTATTGTTTTGAGTGTTCATTGCTGAATTCTTTTTTAAAAATAATGATTTCAAGAAGCCAACTTACATTCCTCCATCTAACGTAATCCCTTATAACAACAAACATTGTTCAAGTGCTACAATATCCTGTAGCATCAAGCACTGGAATTCACTGGAGTTCCAGTTCAAAAAGTCTATAACAACTTGGAGCTGTCAAACAAATGATGAAATGGCATGTATTCTATTGTGATGACAGCAGGTTGTGAGATCAGCCATGCTGCACTAATCCAATGATGGGAGCCCTCTCATCTAGATCTACAGAGTGAAAAAGCAATTGACTTTCTTTTAAACACTTCAGGCAGCTTTTTCTTCTTGCATATTTAAAAGGCAGGACTTCTAAGTACCTGTTCGTCAGCTTCTTTTGACAGCTTCTCTTGATACTTTTGACATTTCCATCTAGATTCACAATTACGAGTTAATGTGCCTTTTAAACACATTGTGCCAAGCTTTAACAATCTTCAAGCATAAAACCTCCCTCAAAAGGTATCCCAGGACCATGTTTAGTGGGATACCTTACCTCTTCCAAAAGAGGACTCTGGTTATCCAACAAAAATTATGAAGCTCAGTTCTGTTCATAGTCTACAGTCTACAAATGTTGTAAACACACACTTACATTGCAAACCTCAGACATGAGAGGAGGCAGTTGCTGATTTATAATGGCAGCTACCTCCTTAAAACACCTATATACAGAATACAATCTGCATATGAAGATGGTAAGTGCTTCAAATTTTCAGCTTCCTGCACATTTTTTTGCCACTGAAAATGCAGGCAATTACCTTTGTAAGCACCTTTAAAATCACAGTATTAAAAATTGCTCTTTTATAGAGGAAAATGTCACAGCAAATACGTCTTGTTGCTCCCAGCTCCCAATGAGTTTGAATTTCCCCATTTTGCTGAGTAGCGACTGGGTTTCCATGATCTTGAAGAGTTTTTTAAATCTACCAGCCATAGTAAATGATGATTCTTCTGCTCAGGTCATGCCAGGGTGAATCTCCTGGAGTCTGTAGATCATATGAATATGTCTCTTTGACTAGAGACCATCTTCCTCCTCAGTCCAGCTGTAATAGTTTTGTGGGACCAAGCAGCCTCTGCTCCCTCCTGACCACACAAAAGTTTACGGTCTGTGATAGTCAGTGATGAGTGGGGAAACCTGAAACTTGATCTCAAAAGGAGATTCCTCTGCCAGCATGAAACAGCCAGACATCCCGGTAGAAATGCTGGTTAAAAACACAAAGAACTGCACATGCTGGATATCAGAAACAAAAACAGAAAGTGCTGCAGAAATGCAGTAGGTCTGGCAGCATCTGTGGAAGGAAAAACAAACTTGAACTTCCAAGTCTAGTGACCCTTTGTCAGACCTGCTGAATTTCTCCAGCACTTTGTGTTTTTGTTTTAGAAATGCTGGTTGGCTGTTTTAGACATTCACGCTTTTTCATTGAATACAGCACATTCATTGCAATACACCCTCTGATCAGAACCAAAGAAAGATCTTGTCCAAACATATTCACAATATTTCCACAAGGCCATTGCTGCTTTGAAGATTTTGGGATATCACATCCCTATTGATCCTGAGAAGAAAGTGGTGACTTATCGACCATGTAAGTTAATAAGACAGCTGGAAGAATGATAAGGAGCTCCAAGAGATGAAATAAAGTATGTGAACACCAGAGTAATCAACTAAAACTGTAGCTAGAGTGAGCTGTATTGTGGTGAGTGTGTGTTGGGGCAGTGGTGACCTGTTCAAGAGGGACAGATTGCATCTGAACTGGAGGGGTCCAATTTTCTGGCAGGCAGATTTGTTAGTGCTACAAGGGAGGGTTTAAACTAGATTGGCGGGGGGAGGGCATGGGATCGTCAATGGCAGGGAGGCAAGTGCGAGGCTGGAAGGAGATACAGTAATCAGAAATGGCAAGTTGAAGAGACAGGTCAGGCTGGAACAGGACAGGGAGCAAGGAATGCCTTTTGGATTAAATTGCATCTATTTCAATGTGAGAGGGCTGACAGGTAAGGCCGATGAACTCAGGGCATGGATAAATACGTGGGGCTGGGAATATTATAGCCATTGCAGAAACATGGCTAAAGGAGGTACAGAACTGGCAGCTTAATGTGCCAGGGTACAGGTACTTTAGGCGGGACAGAGATGGAGGAAAGGGGGAGGGGGAGTTGCATTTTTGATTAAGGGGAGTGTCATAGCAGTCATCAGAGATGAAATAACTGAGGGGTTATCCAGTGAGGGTTTGCGGGTGGAGCTAAGAAATAAGAAGGGGATGGTGACGTTATTGGGATTGTACTATAGGCCTTCAAATAGTCAACGGGAATTAGAGCAACAAATATGCAAGGAGATTGCAGAGACTTGCAGGTGCAATAAGGTTATCATAGTGGGGGATTTTAATTTTCCTAACATAGA